GAGCCCGCGGGGGCCGCGAGGCGCGGGGCAGAGGGGGCGCAACGCGGAGCATCTCTTGGTGTTGAGAACCATCTTGTTTTCCACGCAGATCTGGAGGGGCAGCACGCGTGCCGGGAGCGTCCCCTCCTCCTTTTCGGGGCCGCCGCAGGCTCAGTGAGCCGTTTTTTCCCTCTGGCCGGCAGGCTGGGCGCGCAGGGACGCGGGCCCCCGCTGGGCGCGCAGCGGCACCATGGGCACGGTGCTGTCCCTGTCCCCCAGCTACCGGAAGGCCACGCTGTTTGAGGATGGCGCGGCCACGGTGGGCCACTACACGGCCGTGCAGAACAGCAAGAACGCCAAGGACAAGAACCTGAAGCGGCACTCCATCATTTCCGTGCTGCCTTGGAAGAGGATTGTGGCCGTGTCAGCCAAGAAGAAGAACTCCAAGAAGGTGCAGCCCAACAGCAGCTACCAGAACAACATCACGCACCTCAACAATGAGAACCTGAAGAAGTCGCTGTCCTGCGCCAACCTGTCCACATTCGCCCAGCCCCCACCGGCCCAGCCGCCCGCACCCCCGGCCAACCAGCTCTCAGGCTCCCAGACCGGGGTCTCCTCCTCTGTCAAGAAGGCCCCGCACCCCTCCGTCACTTCCGCAGGGACGCCCAAACGGGTCATCGTCCAGGCATCCACCAGCGAGCTGCTGCGCTGCCTGGGCGAATTTCTCTGCCGCCGGTGCTACCGCCTGAAGCACCTGTCCCCAACGGACCCCGTGCTTTGGCTGCGCAGTGTGGACCGCTCCCTGCTTCTGCAGGGCTGGCAGGACCAGGGCTTCATCACGCCGGCCAACGTGGTCTTCCTCTATATGCTCTGCAGGGATGTTATCTCGTCTGAGGTGGGTTCAGACCATGAGCTCCAGGCCGTCCTGCTGACCTGCCTGTACCTCTCCTATTCCTACATGGGCAACGAAATCTCCTACCCGCTCAAGCCCTTCCTGGTGGAGAGCTGCAAGGAGGCCTTTTGGGACCGTTGCCTCTCTGTCATCAACCTCATGAGCTCCAAGATGCTGCAGATCAATGCTGACCCACACTATTTCACACAGGTGTTCTCCGACCTGAAGAATGAGAGCGGCCAGGAGGACAAGAAGAGGCTCCTTCTAGGGCTTGATCGGTGAGCCCTGTAGCCCTGGTCATGGCTCAAGGATTCATTTTTAAAAATTTATTATTAAATCAGAGTTTTGTGTACAGTATGTGTCTAGCAAAGCCACCAAGGGCCTCCCCCTTCCCATGTTCTCTCCTTGGGATTTTTTTCAGCCCTGTGAAGAATTCTGGAGACTTGAACTCTCAAATCTTGTGCAAACCCAGATGTACTCGAAGCCACCCAGGCTGACCTCCCCCTTTGGGGAACCCAAGGGGCTGACTAGCCCCTGCTGCCTGTGCCCTTGCTGGATCCATGGTGGGTGAGGCTGCCCACTGCTCCCTGGATGGGAGCTGGTGAGGGGGTCTCTGGCTGCGGGCCCAGGGAGGAATTGGGATTTCTGGTCAGAGGTCCAACAGTTTTGGATGGTTCATTCTCCCAGAGGCTCCTCAAGCCAGCTACCCTGACTGAGCCTCAAAGACAAGGGTTTTGAAGCAAGATCCCTATAGCCCTGGGACATCTTCAGTAGAGGAGGGGCAAAGTGGGTCTCGTGCAATGATTGTGTCCAGTGGTTTGCCTGCGCACGGCCCTGGTTTGCGTTTTCTTTTTTAGGGAGAAGGGCTTTCCTTTAGTGGAGAAGTGGAACTTGCCCCTCTGCCCCTTGCCCACTACTCCCAGCTCCCACATTAGGGTTGGCTAATGAGCTTGTTTTCCTCATTAGGTTCTTATTTTGGGTCCCAGCTGAAGGGGTGGGGTGAAACTGGGGACAGCTACTTTCCTGGGTGAATTTTTCATTTGAATAACACAGCTTAGTCACCCTGTGGTGAAAGCCAGGACAGTGGCAGCTGCCCATTAGCAACAGCCTGTCTTCTGGGCAGGTGGAGAAGTCCACACCTGAGACCAAGCTGGTGCCCACCTAAGTGCTAAGGCCTCTTGCTGGTGCACATGACATTTGTCCTGCCGAGTCGGGGGAGGTGAGATCAGCAGTAGGGGTGATGTGATAATGGTGTATCCCACCCCCACCCCGTGTTAATTTAAAGCTGTTTCCAAGCAGTTCACTTTCTTCTGGAGAGGAAGCCTTGCTCTGTAAGGCCCAGTGAGACAGCTGGATCTTGGAGATAATTACAAGATGGGAGTTTGACTCCTGATTGCTTTGGAAGCTTGGTGATTCTGTAGCTGATTACTTGCAGCTGCTAGTTTTGGTGTCCACCTTACCCCAGTTCTATGAAAACACATGTTATGTACTTTATCTGTTTTCTTTCTAATTCTCCCAGACTGGTGGCTTGGGAGAGGTCCACGAAAAGGAAGCAAGTCTTCCTGTGTGGCCCCCACTCTTCCTTTGGGGAACAAATAGCAGTGTGAAGATGCTGTAGAGGATTCTCTCTTCCAGTCCTGGTCACCAGGGAGTGCTGGAATTGGGGGCTGGGGTGGGGGAGGCAGAGGTCATTTTACATAGGATTAGGTTCTAGGTGGCTGCCGACTTCTGCACAAGCACTACTGAAATTCACATTAAAAAAAAAGAAAGCTGTGAAATTGAGGTACCAATTTAAGAGGCCTGGAGCAGAGCCTTTTGGTCTGAGGCTTTCCCAGAGATGGGGAAGAGGGCCTGCCCTGCTGGAGAGCCTTTCTCCAGCTACTCCTTGAGGCCCACACTGAGCCAGTTCCTGGGACTGTGAGATAATCGGATGCAGAGCTGGAAGGCACCTGCGGCTGCTGGCACAGACTTCACCACAGCCTCTCTTCTCTGCTGGTTTTCATGCAGCCTGTCTTTACATCCTGCTGCCACTCGTGACCCAAGGTGGGAGGCCTGTGGGGGCAGCTGGCCCCTTCGGGCACAGAAGAGGAGCTTCAGGTGCCTAGTCTCAGCAGGAGGGTGCATGTTTGTAGTCCATACAGCTGGCTGAACCTGGCCTAGAACTGTGCCATTAAGTTGCATCCACAGGATTCCGGTTTTTTATCTGTTTCCTTCTCTCTCTGTAAATTTTTTTTTTGTTGTTGTTGTTTTTTGTTTTTGTTTTTGGAGGAGGTACACATTTCAGGAGATGTTGTGGACTAAGAAAACAACTCTAGTTCCACCAATGTGAAGCCTGTGTGTTCTCTTCTCTTCCCTTGCACTGGTCATCAGTATTGTAAAGGAGCAACTGATATACTTGAGTGTGCAAGCAATGAACCCATTTGACATGCTGCTATGAAGACTACTTTTAGAACAACAACAAAAAACTAACCTACAAAAAAAAAAAAACCTTTATTCTTTAATTGTTGCTTTTACAGTGATATTGTGCATGCAAACCAGGAGCATTTTGTGTCTTAAGAAAAATAATCTTAGAACAGATGGCTGTGAAAATTACACCCATGCACAGAACAAGCCACAGGAATAATAGTTCAGGATTTGGTTTTTCTCTTTTTCTTGTAAACCCGAGGGTTGATATATTCTTTCCATGCAGTTACTAGAATTTAGTTTTGTTCCAACAGTTGTTAAACTTGCAATGAAAAGAAAATGTGCCATTTTTTTTCCTCTCAGAACTATTCATAGCTGTATATTTGAAACTGCTAATTATACATGTGTGATATATGTTGGTTTTTTAGTGCAATTTATTCTGTAGCTATTCTTTGACCAAACTGTGGGTATTGTTAATATTAATTTATATTTGTCTCATTTTGTATGTATGTGTAGTGTGTGAGTATGTGTGGTTTATAATCTGACAGTCATGAAGCTCAGTTTGGCTGTAATTTAATTCCCCTTTCCTTATTTTTATTTATTTTTGTACTGTGCTGATTCAATAAAATGCACTGACCATCCATTACATAGACCTCTTTTTGTGGGCCCGTCATTTGTGAGTAGGCTGGGATACTTTTTAATGCATGATTTATGCACTTGGAATTAAATTGGATTTGTGTTATTGGGGAGGGCAGGTGGAACAGAGCTGGGGGAAAGGGCTGAACACACTAAGGAGATTAAGAAAGCAGCACAGGTTAAGTAGGCTTTGGGTTAGTGGTGGGGGCTCCCTTTGTGGAGGCGGATGACTGGTATGTTGAGCCAAGGAGGGTCAAGCTCACACATATGGCCTGGCCAGTGCTAGCCAAGTGGGTTTCTGCATGGGCACTGGGCCTTGGACCAATATGTTGAGGCTTGTTGCTTAAGGCTGCTGCTCCTGTGTCCCTGAGCCTGGCCCTGCTCAATGCTCACTGCCCAAAGGCTCCTGGGCCAGTAGGGGTGGACTTGTGTCCATGTTTGGGTTTAGGTCTATGTAGGTTTCCTGCAGAGAAGCTCAGTTCTGGGGCTTCCAGAAAAGCAGCCAGCCCAGCCTGCAGTTTGGGCAGGGTAAGAGCCTCCTAACTCTGGTGGTTTGGGCCCAGTCCTGTCGAGCTCATGCAACCAGCCTCAGCTCAGGGAGAGGGCAGTGGGGACTTGGTCTTCCCTTGCTCCTGCACCTGGTTGTTAGAAGCTGTCAGCCTGGGAACACGGTTACTGGTTTCCTCAAGGTAACTCCCATGGGCTGAGTCATATTTTCCTGCCAGTGACTGGGAAGCACTCTGAGATGGCAGAGCCTCAGGTGCTGGGAATGCCCCATGGCCCCCTCTAGGCCTCACCTTGTTTGCCTGCAGCTCCCACTCCTACCTGAGAGCCCATTTTTGCTTTCTCCTCTCCTTCCACCCCACCCCTTCTCCAACCAACTACCTTGGAAAGAGGCCATTTCATCCTCTGCCATAAGATTCTGAGCCCATCCAGTATACATGTTTTTTATTTCAGTTAATGTTCTCTGACACCAAGCAATGGGCTTCAAGATTTATTATTTATGGAACCCAGGGGTGCTCTACCACTGGGCTCCATTGTTTTTTGAGACTTGAGGATTTTAAAAAAAATTTTCAGGGCTGGGGATGTGGCTCAAGCGGTAACGCGCTCGCTTGGCATGTGTGCTGCCCGGGTTCGATCCTCCGCACCACATACAAACAAAGATGTTGTGTCCGCCGAGAACTAAAAAAAAAATAAATATTAAAATTTCTCTCTCTCTCCTCTCTCACTCTCTCTTAAAAAAAAGATAAGCATAAAGTTGGGAGTTCATAACCCACTTGAATCAAACTGTGAAAGATGATGTATTAAGAACTGTGTAATGTTTTGAACGACCAACAATAAAAAAAAAAATGAAAAGAAAAACCACAGGTTTAGAGAAAATATTTGCAAAGATATATCTGATAAATCCAAAATATAAAAAGAACTCTTAGAGTTAAATAATAAGAAAACAAACATTACATTTAAAAAGTGGGCCAAAGGCCTAAGCCACCTAACCAAATAAGATATACAGATGGCAAACAAGCAAATAAGAGAATACTCCATATTATATGTCATTAGGAAAAAAAAAAAAAAGATAAGCAGGAACAATGTTTCTGTCTTGCTGGATTAAAAAAAAATTTTTTCTTTTCATTTGTAGATGTTTATTTTTATGTGGTGCTGAGTATTGAACCCAGTGTCTCTACCACTGAGCCACGACCCCAGCCCCTGAGACTTGAGGATCTTGCTAAATTGCTAAGGCTGGCCTTGACATGACATCCCATCTTAGCCTTCTGAGTCACTGGGATTACAGGAGTGTGTTGTCATGCCCAGCTCCAAGCTTCTGGATTCTAGAACACAGGCTTCAAAATGGTATAAAAAAGTGTTTGGATCTAACTCCACAGCCTTCTCTCCCTACTTCCTTATTTTTCCTTCCCGTTCACTAATAACTCTTTACTGGGATTGAACCCAGAGGTGCTTTACCACTGAACCACATTCCAGCCCTTTTTATTTTTAGATTAGGTCTTGTTAAGTTTCTGAGGCTGGCCTTGATCTTTGCGACCCTCCTGCCTCTCTGCTTGCCCAGGGGCTGGGATTACAAGTGTCCACTACCGTGCCTGGCCTTGATAATGTTTTTGTTGAAAAGCCTTGGACAAATTATCCTCTATTTTACATTATTTGTGCTTAGTGCTCTCTTCTGTCCTCTAGAATAAGTTGACTTTAAGCTAAAATTTTACAATTATAATGTTCAATGACAGATAAGAAGAACACCTTTAAAAATAAGATTTAATGCTTTATTGCTCTTAATGTAAATCAAAATATGCTTTAGAAATAAAGTTAATTTAATGGAAAATAGGAATATATGCACCAAACCATAAAACTGCATTTAAGTCAATCAGGAGAACCCACTTCATTGCATACAATCACTGCCTTCTTCCTTTGCACGCCTGATGCATTCCCATGGTCAGTCCTATCCTATAGTCTTCATCTTTCTTCGGTTGCCACACCCTGTGACTTCTTTTAGTACATTATAAAAAAGTGCTTGTGGACAGCAGCGTCCAGTGGCCTCAACAGGAAGGCCCTGGTGCTGGGCTGAGGGGCCCCAGGCTACATCAAAGGGTGGGAAAGAAGAGTCCAAGCCCTTCATTTTATCCAGCCTTTGACAGGCAACTCATTTGGCATGATCTATTTTGGTGTGTTTAAAACATGTGCAGTGTCTAGTGTAAAGCAACAAGTTTGGGGCGATAAGTGGAAAGGGGAGGTGAAGTTCCAGTTAGATGGTTCAACTAGTGTCTACTGGTGATTGGCAAAACTATGAGCGTTGCTAAACTGGGCTAGTGGCACCTCTGCACTGTGCAGGCAGCTGACCAGGTTGGAGAATGAGAAAGTGTTCCCAAGGACAGGATGCCAAAAGGATTCTTTGTTGCAAATTGCACATAGTGCAAATCTCTGCAAATCCTGGGAAGGGGGTGGGAGGATGGGGTGGGATGTCCAGGATGGTGGGACCACCTTGGGTTAGCCAGGTGACCGCATCAGGCCCAGGAAAGACACAGGAGCTGGCACACAGGCACTTGGTGAGTTCCGCTGGGTCAGGGTGGGAGGATCAGGAGGGGCAAGTATCTGTGGCAGAAGCTGAAGACAATTTGTCAGCCCACTTTATACCCTACCAGCTGCTCCTGAGGCACGGGCATACCCTCACCCCCTTTCATTATGGAGTATCTGCTCCAAGGTTATTTTTTTAAGGCTCCCCAAAGAGAGGCCTGGGCTGCCCAAAGGCCTCAGTATCCTTAACAGCTGAGGCTTGGGGAAGAGGGAGGGTCTCTGAAGTGCGTGTGCTATTTTGCTGACAGAAACTGGCAAGATGGCAGCATTCTCCTGGCAGGAGGCCCAAGGCCCCGGGCTCCAGTGGGGATATGTGCACAGCTTTGCAGGGGGATGTGGGGACCCTGGCCTGGCCTGCAGTGTCAGGACCCCATGCTCTTGATTCCTGATGCTCTGCCTCCTATGGTTCCTGTATGCTCAGAACCCCACCCTGGTCCTAGTTCTCCCAGTGAGTAGGAAAAAAGGAGTGAGAAGAGGAGAGCTGCCAAGCACCAGCGCTCCCCTCACCCCGCACCTGCATTTCCAACACAGTGTGGCCACAGCAGAGACCATATTTGATTAACAATCCTGTAAACTGCAAAAATCAGTGTAAGATGGACGCGGGCTGTAGGTAGGGAAGTTAGAATATCCTCAGGGCATCATCACACTGTCTCCACAAAGAGTTGGTCAGAAGGCCCAGGCTTCTGGTTCCTGGTGACACTGGTAGTCTCTGAGGGGCAGGCTCTGGGAAGGAGGGACTCTCTGTTGGGGTCTATAGGTGAACCTGCTCACCTGATGGCTTTGGCTGGCTGGGGAAGGAGGGTCTGCTTAGGCACTCTGAGCTGGGTCTCCAGGACTGCAATCACCTTGGGGGAGGAGAGGCAGCCGGCAGGACTCGGGGAGAGAACAGGCTACAGCTCAGCTCAGCCACCAGGTCTCCTCCATTCTGGGCTCCCCCAGCCCATCTCTTTGCAGGGGTCAGCAGCTAGACTGACTCAAGGCCCAGTGGGTTGACCTGGCCATTTGAGGGATGGCTTCACCAACTAAAGGTACCATCCAGTTGCCTCTGAGGTGAGATGTGTTCTGGGTGTCAGCCCAGGGGTCTGGAGCAGGGTATGGGGTCTTTGGTTTTCTGAGCAGGGACTGTGGAAAGTCAAGACAGCAGAAGATGAAGACCAAAGGTAGAAAGCTGGGAAGATGAGCTCCCAGGGAAGGGCCTTAGAAAGGCAGGCGTGGCCCTCCCCAGGCCTGGGCCCTCGCCAGCTGCTTTCTGGTGGCATTAGTGGGGATGCAGCAATCGGGCTGGAAGGAGGCTGAGCGGGGCCAGCGTTCGAGGGCCTCAGGGGCCAAGCCTCTTGGACAGCCTCGCCCTAGGCCCAGCCTCCTGCTCCCAGGCCAGGCCTCTGTGATGCAGTGGTCAGTTCCCAGGCACGCTGAGGATGAAGCCCGAGCGGTTCTTGGTGAAGTCCGGCTCTGGCTGGTTGAGCCGCGTCTCCACGGAGACGGTGCACTTCTTCCCATGCAGGCTGCACTGCACTGGATTGGTGACGTTCACTTGAAGGTGGCGATTCTCACTGGAAAACCCAAAAGACCAGGCAGGCAGTTAGCAGGCAGATTTAGAATGGGGTGATTTCCCTGGCCACCCACAGGGGCCTGCCACTTGCCAGGCTCCTGTGGGCTGGTGGGTTCTGATTTAACTTGCTTCTTCACAGATGTCCAGAGAGGGCTCGAGAGTGCTAAAGGGAGGTGGAGGCTGGGAGAGAGCAGAGTCGAGGTGCTGGGCGTACCCTCCACCACCAGTGGCAAAGCACAGGGCCCGCCGCTCATCTCTGGAGAAGCCAGCAGGTGCAGCTGGTCCAGGACAGGCAGGTGTGGCTGAACCATGAGCCCCCAGGTCTTGGGCGTTAGGTGTCCTGGGGGCAGGGTTCTCTGTCTTGTGACTATTAATTGGTTATCACTGATTGTGACAGGGAGACCCATAGGGGACAGTGCCTGTCTGGGGTAAGTGGACACTTCCCCCCCACACATACTCCCCGATGAGAGGAGGGTCTGCTGGGAGTCTGACCCTGGCCCCTCTCTATCACACAGTCCACCTGTGAGAAGACTGTCCCAGTTGACCACAGCTCTGAAGGCTGTGGGCCTCCTGGAGGCTGCGGTTGTGACCTGGTGTTGCCAGGTCAACTTTGCTGATGGTGCCTACCACCCTGGCAGATGGGAATGGCGGGTACAGGTAGTGGCTGCTCCCACTCCTGTGTCCACTAGGAGCCCTGTGTGGTAGGAGCTCACGTTCCCCTGGCCTGGGAGCGATGAGCCTCCTACTGGCCAGAGAGGGGCCTCATGCACGCTCTCCTTGTTCTAAGTGGGGGGTCAAGAGCTGAGGGGCAGCATGGCGGGGCTGTCCCTGCTGTAGAGACAGGAGCCCTTTCCTTCGGCTTCTCACACTGCACTGAATATACTTAAGCTGCTGCTTATTTTAAAAGCTGAGAATCCTGTCGAGCTAGGCTGGCACCTAACATCCAGGTACACACCAGCCTGTGCTGGGGAGGGAGAGGAGAAAGGCAAGGCCTGGGAGCCTCTAATCAGGTGGGCTGGCTCTGCCCCATGTGCCTAAAGCCTTGGGAATCCCTTCGTGACTCTGGGGTGGCACGTGGGGTGTGGACAGGCTGGGTGCCCCTGAACACTCTTCTGGACCCACTGGTCTGAGGTTGCTCCTGGCGTTGAACAGTGAACGCCAAGCTGCCATGTTCACGTGTGGCGGGAAGGCCAGGCCTGAGGTCAGTACATGCTGAGCGTCTGTCCAGCCTGGATGTGCCCTCACTGGGCCGCTGTGAATGTGAGGCGCTTTCTGAGCACTGGCCTGGCCGGGAGGCGACTGCCCGGAGGCTGAGGCAACCTGTCAGGCTGTGTTCACTGCCAGAGGGGGCCTGACAGCAGCAGGCCCAGGAGAACCCAGGCTTCCCCGGAGTGCCCAGCCCAGGGCACCATGTCCAGGGACTCCCCATGACGCACCCCAGAAGGCTCTGAAGTTTAGGAAGTAATTTTAGGTGTTCTTAGGGGCTCTTCTCACAACCACTTCCTACCTGCTATGATTAGCTATGATGTAGAGGCAGAAAACGGACCAGGAAGAGGCCCGTGGTTATCACTTATGGGCATTAGGCATCTAATACTTAATATCTTGTCAGCTGCAGCTAAAAGCTTGGCTTAGAAGCTATTTTTAACCAGACTTGGACATAAAAATAGCAGAGCCCATCAGAGGCAATGACTCAGGCGTCTTCTTCCTGCAGGAGTCAGGGCTGCTCTGCAGGTAGAGTGTTCACCTGGGGTCCTGGTGCAGGCCCGAAGCAAGCAAAGCCCCAGCTCTGTGGCGCTACTGTGGCTGGGGATGTCTCCAGAACCAGGCTGGTTCCTGAGCCTCCCGTCTGGGAGCCAGCGCCCTTCCTTCCCCTTCCTGGCTCTGCCCTCCTCCTTCCCCTGTGGAACCTGGTAAAGTACACCTGGTGGGTTCTAGAATCACCTGGGGAAAGGGCTTAAGTGGCCATACTCCAGGCTCTCCCCACCCCATGCTCCCGGGCCAGTGCAGTCCTCCCAGCAGGGTCCTCCTTCCTGGCCTGGTGCCCCGAGTCTGCAGAGTGGCCCTTCCCCTCCTGTTCAGCTGCTGGACCTGTTCTAGGTCTCTAAGAGGCGGTAGAGGCTGGTGAGGAGAGAGGTGTGAGGAGCACCCAAGGTACAGGGACAGACTTGGCCTTGAACACGGAGCCCTGGGGGGGGGCGGGGTGAGGGAAGCTTTGGAGGGCCCTGGCTCTGGGTTGCTCCTCCCACACTGGGCTGGGCTAAGAGCTCTTGTCCCTTTCTGTCCCAGTCAGTAAGCACTGGAGTAAATACTAGCTGGGGAGCAAGCGGGAAGCAGATGACAGAAAGGGAGGGGGGCAGTTCCCTTCCTCAGGGAGCTTCCTGCAGAGGGGAGAGCAGAACACATGCTGGAAGGCGCAAGATAGGTCCTGTGTGGTTGGGGCGGGCTCTCTTCCCTCCTGGAGGCCATCAGGAAGCAGGAGCTGCTGCACTTGACCCTCCCCAGCTCCGACCCTCCCCAGCTCCGGGCCCTCTCCTCCACTCTCCCTGTCCTACCCTCCTGGGCCAGCCCCACAGCTGCTCTGTCCCCCCCAGCGGGATGCACGGTCCCAGGACAGCGGTTGGTTGTCCTGTCCTTCTGGTGGGCAAGGCTGGCTCTTGGGCATTCTACGCCACAGGCCCAGCCCACGGGGCTTCTGGAGCAGCTGTACCCAAGTGGACAGAAGGGCTGGTGTACATGTCAAGGGGCCTTGCTGCCATCTCCTCTCCCGACCACATTTCTGAGCTGCCCCTGACCTGGACCACAGATTCTGGTCTGTGGCAACAATGAATTCCTACTTCCTGTGTCTCAATGCTGACCCTCAACTGAATGAGTCACAGACATATTAGGAAAGAAAAGGCAGCGTTTAGTGATGCTCCCACATCCCCTCTCCACCTCCGGGGGTTTCTGGGTGATGCTTTCTAAGCCCACGTGAAAGTTCTCCTGATTCCTTTGGGGTCTTAATGTAAGATCCAGAGGCCTGGCTGGAGGGTCTGGATTCTTATCCAAGTCTTTCATACCTCTACGAAGGTCTTTTGCAACTCTCAAATATATACAGGAAATCCATTGCCTATTTTATGGTGAAGATGAATGGAACGAATACTCTCATCCATCCATTGATCTAGCCTCTGCCCTTGGACGCCCTGGCACTTACCCAGTGCTCACTCCCCGTCAGACACTGTGCCAGGCCCTGAAAGACCAAGTGAGTTTGTAGCCAGAGAGCAGGGGAGGGGTGGGGTTCCCCTGAGCCCTGGCAAGCTGCTTGCCCTCATGGGATTTGCAGTCTGGCGAGGGATCTGCACCGGGTGCTTGGTCATAAAGCACCGTATGTGGGAAACCCACACTATGATTTTGCTTCACGGGGGAAATTTTACTCCTTTCTCAAGTGCTAAGAACCTCCAAAAGAGATTTCAGGAGAGCTATTATTACAGACTCAGTTTATGTTCTCTTCACACCATAAAAGCCATACGAATGCTTCTGTTTTGAACAGTCCCTTCCTGACTGTCTTTATGGGGCGGTGGATTCTCAATCTATTTAAATCTGACAAGTTTACGGAGCATCCTGCCTTGTGCACTGCTTCCACTTTGAGGATGCAGGTGCCTGGAGCGCGGAGAAGCCTCTCACGGGGGCTCAGACACAGGGCCCTGGAGGCTGGGGATGCCTCCCAGGACAGATGGGCCACACCAGCCAGGCCGCTGGCCCTGGGCTTGCTAGGTCTGTGTGACGTTGCAGGCCTTGGTGCACCTACTCTGCACACTGCTCGCCCAGTGAACTCCATCCCCTCACTTCCCCAAGTTCAGATGCCCACTGCAGTCTCTCAGCCGGGGACAGCAGAGGGCCCGACTGTCAGCATTTGCTAGGACGAATGCACACCGAGTCTATGAAGTGCATTCCAAAGGAAGAGTGGCCAGAAGCCGGTGAGATGGAGGGTCCCCGAAGGAGGCCTGTTCCTTAGAAAAGAAACATTTCATGTTGACTCCCCAAGTGACGGGATGTCCCTGGGCTCCTGCTCTTTTCCTTGCATAGCCCTGCGTGGCCCTGGCCTCTTGGGTCTGGACCGAAAAGGGGGCTGAGATCATAACTCAACAGTGAGGGCAAGAAGAAGTGCCTGCCTCATTCTGTTCTCAGTCACACTCAAATGGTGCCATCTACACATTACCATCGACAGACCACAAAAGAAGACAATGTGGATTCAAGTGGCAGTTCCTCAGTAAGTGAAACACAAAATGACAAGACAACCCTGCAATTCCACTCCAAGATATGTATCCAAAGGAAATGAAAACAGATGTTCAAAAGCTTGTCCACAAACATTCAGAGCAGAGCTATTTACAAAAGGTGAGAGCAACCAAAATGTCCATCAGTGGATGGAACCACAAAATGTGGTATGTCCATTCATTGAAATATTATAATTCAGTGGAGAATATTACTCAGCAATAAAAAGAAATAAAGTTTTGACACATGCTACAGCATGATGAACCTTGAAAACATTTTGCTTAGTAAATAAAGCCAGATACACAAGGCCACATGGTATATGGTTCCACTTATAGTAGGAAAATCTATAGCAGAGAATCTATAGAGACAGAAAATACAAGAGCCATTGCAAAGGGCTGTGGAGAGTGGGGTGTGGTGGGGCTGCTTAATGGTTATATAGTTTCCTTTTGGGGTGATGAAAATATTCTAGAACTAGATAGAGGAGATGGTTGTGCAACACTGTGAATGTACTAAATGTGGGATTCAATTCTTGGTGAATTTCATCACGAGAGTTTTCCTTTAAAAGTGGACTGATTTTGCTAGGTATGGTGTCGCACGCCTGTAATTCCAGCAGCTCAGGAGGCTGAGGCAGGAAGATCACGAGTTCAAAATCAGCCTCAGCAAAAGTGAGGTGCTAAGCAACTCAGTGAGACCCTGTCTCTAAAATAAAATATAAAATAGGGCTGGAGGGTGGCTCAGTGGTCAAGTGCCCCT